GTATTTTTACAGTCTTTATTTTACAGTTAAAATATATGTTTATTAAATAAAGTCTAATGTTACAACTAATCATGATCCCTTTAAGGTTAAATAAACTGAACTGACTCTTGTGAGAAGGTGAGGTGATGGAGCAGTTTCCAGTGTTTCAGGTGATATTGTGCTAACAGGAACTAGGTGGGCGGGGCCTCACCATTCGCAGGCCGCCCTTCTCGTTCCCTCGGTCGCTCTTGGACCCTGACAGGTGTCCGGCCTGTTTGACGACCCGCCTCAGGTAGGCCTCCAGCTCGGACTCGTTTCTGTTCTCGATCATGGACAGGTGGTCCAGGATCTGCTCAAACACAGACATGTTAAAGACCAACAGACCGTAACCACAGCAACAGGAGGGGGGGGGGGCGCGGCGCATGAGTCACCTTGGCCCCCGTCAGCTTGCACAGCGTGTGTAACAGGGTCTTCAGGGTCCGGTGGGGGACATCTGTCTTCAGCTGCTTCAGCTTGTCTTTGGGGAAAACCTTCATGAAGTTGTGGACGTCCAGCAGGATCCGGTCCAGGTTGATGCTGTTGATGGTTTCTGGCAGGAAGCGGATCATCCTCCACAGACACTGAGGGGAGGGGCAGGATACGGGTCAGACCGAGGGGCGGGGCTGGGCCCAGGCTCTTACCATACCAGCACTTTAAACACCCACAGGACCAAAGTGCTGAACACATAATAAATCATACATACATTCATAAAATAAAAAAATAAAATAAAACATAAAAACACTACAAGAATGTGTTCAAAGGCCAGAGAGAAAAAAACAGACAGGGATGATGCCTGTCTGATGTCCAGAGGAAGGTGGTTCCATCATTTAGGAGCTGCCATGACACCTCTGAGCTCACAGCTAATGTTGTTCACAGTCAGGAGCAGCTGATCAGCTGACCTGAGCGATCCACAGGGCCTGTAGGGTTTTAGCAGATCTGACAGGTACGGTGGAGCAAGACCATTAAGAGCTTTAAAAGAAAATAAAAACTTTAAAACGAATCCTAAAATATACAGGCAGTCAGTGCAGGGAGGCTAAAACAGGAGAAACATGATCAAACCTTGGTGTGCCAGTTAAACAACATGCAGAGGTGTTCTGTACCTCTGCAGCTGTGAGACACAGGACTCACTGATGCCTGTACGTGTTACTGTAGTCCAGCAGAGTGGTAAAAGCGTGGACTTCTGTCTCAAAATGTTTCTTGGAAAGAATCACCTTTACTTTAACCAGCTGCCAGATGGTAAAAACTAGATGTCACAACTGTTCTGATTAGGAGTGTAGGAAAATATCGATACACCAATATATATCAATTATTCATTTCCTGATACTGTATGGATTCTCTAAAGCCCTGTATCAACTTTTTATTAAGATTTAAAATGTCAACTTTCCTGCCAACGCTTTATTTTTGTTGTAGTTCAGCCTCTGACCACTAGTTGGCAGCAGTGAGCCAGCCATGTGGCTCCTCTACTGCTAAGGAGCCAGAGAGTAACGGTAGCATTAGCATAATGAGTAAACATTAGCTTCATGCTCCGATAGCTGAATCTGAGCAGAAAAGACCGACACCCTCTGCCTTCTAAGCTGAGGTAAGGTTACAAACAGTTACTTATTTGTCACAATGTCTGTGTTTTAAACCAAACTGAAGTGTCTCGTCCAGGGCGCTCTTTTTCCGACTGTAGTCAGCCGTCACGTTACAGAAGGCAGGCAGACATGCGTCTGGCTCCTCGAGCTTATGGGGTGTTGTGCAAAATTCAGTTTCCCTGTGAAAATCTGTTCCCCCCCGTGTCTGGAGGGTACACTGCAGCCAGAGAGGCAGATCTGACCATTTTCACAGTGATTCTAATGAATTTCTCGTTAAAAGGACTCTTAATCCTGTCAAGGTAACTTTCAGTTTAATCGTCAGCTGTTGTAACGTTATGGCATTATTTAACAAAGACAGAAATACGTGGTCCAAGAATGAAGGTACTCCGTGAGGTGATCAGCTGAGTTTTATTACAACAGGAAACACAGAGAACAACCTGTCCTGTCTCGTGCCTCTGCCTCTCTCTGTCAGTCCACTGTGTCCACTGTGTCTCCACTGTCCACTCCACTCTCCACACTACTCACTGTGTCTCCAGAGGCCTCATATATTTATTAACAAACACCATTATGTCATCTTAGCAAGATTTGATACAAGGTCAATGGAAAACACAAAGATAAACACAAGTGATATCTAAGAATGACTGTTAGCAAATCTTGTTCTGACTTTAATCATTCTGTCTGCAGATGAACAGCATGTCATGAAAACCTAGGTCATTAAAGGATGTCATGAATTACTAGCTTAAACATAAAAGTATTAGTTCCATTATAGTATTTTAAAAACCTCTAAAATGAATAAATAAACCTGGTCTTTTTTTTTTAAATCACAAAGAGAATCAGTCCTTACAGTCTTTTCCCAACTGTCCTCATGTTGTCTTTAGCCTCACTATTTATCAGTCAGCCATCAAACACCGTCTTCCAACATATTGTGTGTATTTATATTTTTTATTGCTGATACAAGAACCAAATATTTCAGTTGTTTAAAATAATCTGTTCCCCCTCTGCAACATGGGAACAAAATAATTTATCTCCGAGTCTTTAACTGTGTTAATTACTCTCATCATGAACAATAAATCCTGAAGATTTGGGAAAATTTGCTCTTTATTTGCCAAAGTTACCTGGATAGAACCAAATATTATTTAAGCTTGTAAGCTATAGTTTGCACTGTTTCAAATTAAAGAAAACTAATTTTCTCACCACATCTTTGATTAATTTTGTCCAGCTGTAGACTAGGTCTCTGTCCAATCAGAGCAGGTATTGTGTAGTTGGTGCTTTTACGTAATCAGTTTTCAGTTCAATTAATTCAATCCAAGTCTATGGAAAAGTCACAAAATGTCACCAAAATCACTGTGTCCCTCTAAAATCATTCAGAAAATCGAATCATATCGTTCGCTGAATATCGTGATATATATCGTATCATGAGCACAGTGTTGAATATCGTATCATGAGATTAGTGTATCGCTACAGCCCTAGTTTTGATGTAGTTCCCTAACTTGAGTCCAGGATCAACTTTTATCCCTAGATCAGTAACCAAAGGCTTGATGCACAGTGAACCAACATCCACATCAGGTGTCTCAGTCTTCCAAAGATCATCAGCTCAGTTTTGTTTCCATTAAACCTCCTCTAGACATAAAAACAGAGAGCTCAGAGAGTTGTGTCCTTCGTCTTTAACGGGACATATAGTATATCTGGGTATCATCGGCGTAACAACGAAGCGCACTACCAAATTTTCTAAGTATAGAGGTGAAAGGGAGCAGGTACAGGGTGAAGAGGAGGGGTCCTAAAACCGAGCCCTGTGGGTCTCCACACAAGATTGGGTTTGTTAAGCATAGGATGGACAGCTGCATGTTTAAAATTTCCAGGGACCACACCAGAAGAGCAAGGACCGAAGGCCCTACTGTGAGGAACACCTCTTTAAAGAGACGAGGAGGAATGGCATGTCTTACCTTCATGACGAGCTCAGAGAAGGTGGAGGACACCACGGTGGAGATGAGTGTATCCTGGAGCAGCTCCAGCAGAGCACTGAGACAAAAGAGGACACGTCAGCTTTAACACACCTGAGTTCTGATCACTTCCCGTCTGACCCCACCCACCACCCAACCACGACTCCACTCACCTGATCATGTTGGTCTGGTCCGAGTGTTCCAGGACTCGGATCACCAGCAGGTTGACAGACCTGATGACCTGCGTCCCGTCCTCCACGTCCTCCACCCTGCTGTCCAGCATCAGTGTGATCAGACCGTGCATCAGGTCCTTCAGGACCCCCACAGACGCCTCCTTGGCCAGGGTCTCCACGGAGAAGAGCTGACAGGAAGAGGGCGGTTAGTGACGGAGCGGCGGTGGGCGGAGCTTCAGAGGGCGGGGCAGACTCACAGACAGCATGTTCCCGATGATGCAGCTGTAGAGTTTGATGACGTCGCTCTTGTCCACGCGGTCGTGAGCCAGATATCTGCTGTTGATGAGCCTCAGCTGCATGATGGTGGCGATGAGCAGCTGGTCAATGTGTCCTGACATCACGTCCGCCTTGTCCTCCTGACGCAGGACCTCGTCGATCTGAGGACACAACCAGAACCTTATCCAGAGGACAGAACCAGGACCTTGTCCATCAGAGGACAAGAACTGAACAGAACCAGAACCTTAACCAGGACGACAAGCATCAGTACCACCTCAGAGTCAGTTCTTCCTTCTGAACTGGACCTCAATGATTCTGACCAGTTTTATAATAAAACTGGTCAGAATCCAGACCCACCAGCCTTCAGGGGCCCAGACCCCCGAGTCTTCAGTAACTGAGGTGTAATCTGAAGGCCTCTTCATACTCCCTCCGAAGTGCTGACGTTGGTACGGGTTGTCACAGTTTCATGACGAAAATTACGTCACCGGTGTTCCCAGTGTCGGCTCGGCCGCCCCTTTTGGCACAACCCGGCAGCAGAACTGTACCCACCCTCCCGCGACAACGGTAATGTGTGATTGGTCTGAAGTTCGTGGGTGTGTGCGTTTGTGCTGAAAGCGCTCGGACACTCGGTTTAAAAGAAAAGAAAACGACTCGCTCCCAGAGCCGACTGTTACCAGGAAGCAGAGTTTTATAAAGAGAGTCAAACTGAAAAACTCATGAATGGAGATAAAACAGACGTTGTGCACGGAGGAATCTGATAAAAACGGTGGAGCTTTAACCAGGACAGATGTGGATAAATAAGATCGGGTGAGTGACGAGTCTGACTTTTATCTTCTACACTGTCGGCTGTAGCAGGAAGAAACTCCATGCAGTGACGTATGCTGCAGCGGGAGGGGGTTTCCCAGGAGCTCGGCGCGGGGTGTCTCAGGAACTATGAAAGGTCTGTGAGAAAACGAACGCCGAACAACCACGTGACCGCGCATCAACCGACCGGCATCGGAGCGAGTATGTTTCAGGTTTGACCCTCCTGGGTCCTGTGACGGTGACCCGGTCCGAGCGTACCTGGGCCAGCGCCTGGATGCTGGTGCTGATGTCGCCGCTCGCCACCTGTGAGATGACAAAGTTGATTGTGGAGGCGGTGCTGTTGTGGAGATCATCGAAGTGTGGCGAGACGGAGCGAATCCTACAAACAAACAAACAGGAAGTCAGTCAAACCTGTAGTGTTTTGGAGAGGTGGGGTCCCCGTGGGGAGAAGGCGGGCTTACTTGGGCTCGGGGATCATGATGGGCTCCAGCAGCTCGTCCAGCTTGTGTTGGACCAGGTCCGGCAGCTCGCTCACCCGGCTCTGGTCCCTCTCGATCATGTCCAGGTCCAGCTGGAACTCCTTGGGGATGGAGGGGTGGGACGGCTCGTTGTGCTGTGCGTTCTGACGGGATTGACTGGAGGAGAGCCGAGGCAGGAAGTCAGATCAGGTCTCATTGATCAGCGCCGGGTCGGCTCCAGTCCGGACCACCTCAGACCCCTGAGGGATCAGTCCTGATAAGTCCTCTACAAACAGCTGGACTACAGGAGACGTTTGACCCTGAAGCTGAATGTTTCTGCTGGGCTGAACTGGAGCAGACCCGCACTGATCGTACTACAACAACAACGACAACGATGCCACGAGGAGGAGATAAGGGGGCGGAGCCACAGACAAAACATGAAGCAGAAATCTTTGTGCTCGACCTGAAGAAACTGAACAAACAAATACTTTAGAGATTATTCTGATCAGTCGTCTCAAAAACTAAACCCGGTTCACACCTGGAACTGAATCCTGATCTGGATCCAGGTCTGAACCGGGCCTTTCGTCTGAACTCTCAGGCTCAAAACATTTTCCGAGCTCACAGCCGAATGCAAACAGCTGAAAGCTGCAGGACCGAGCTGACAACAAGCAGCGACATGGAGGAGCAAGTGAGGAAGAGCCGAGCAGGGTTCTGTGCTGCAGTCAGAGGAGTACTCACATCCTATACGTGCGATACATTATTCTGCTCCAGAGAGGAAGGCAGGCCGAGCAGAGAGGAAGAGGAGGAGAGGAGACCACACAGGAAACAAAGATGAAGGTTAAGACAGACAAACAGCTGATCAGAGGCAGCAGGTTGCTTTCAGACACCACATGCAATGGATCAGAACCAGGAGGAGGAAACATACGTTAGAAAAGAGGAGAGAAAAGCCGACATGCAGCCAAAGAGACACAAAGTCTGCTTTTCAAAATAAAACTATTCTCTGAAACCTGACAGGATTTATGAGAAACCCTGTTCCATTTATTCATTAAAGTCTGAGGAAAACTGAACTGAACTTGGTTTTTATGCCCCACAAGAAAAAGTAAAAACTTGTTTTTAACTTCAAGTAAAAATATCCATTCATCAATGCATTCAATTAATTTTACCCTCAATTCAACATCAGTCCAGAAAATCCAGTTTTTCCTGTCGCCTCATATTTAGAACAAGTTTTATTTTATAATCTTTACTTTCACGTATTTTATTCCTCTAAAATGTTTGTTTATTTTTTCTGTTTCTATGAGCAAGGAAATATATACATACAAATTATCCACAAGGACACTTATTTTGAAATAGAAGCATTTAAATCAACATCCAATCAAATAGATGTTTTTAAGTTGAAATAATTCATTCTTTCAGCCTTTTTTTAAAGAGTTTCTCATCAGAGGATATCTAAACAGGTCGCCATGTTTTGTTCATGCAAACTGTGTAGAAGCAATAAACTTTGTTAGCTCGGGATAACAACTGGCAGTCTGAACTAACGCTTTCCCTATCTTCCTGTTTTTACTAACTTATCGACTGAGGGCGGAACCAGAAACCTCTTCTTTAGTGACTAACAGTTTCCGCCCGGGGTTCAGAAGGAGACGGACATGCGTCAGCTGCAGGTTTGACCCTTCGCTAACAGAACCTAAACCAAAAGCTTGAAGTTCACAAAGCAACTTTGTCCTGACTTCCTGTGGGAAGTAAGTTTTATTCTGAAGATCAGGAACCAAGTGCTTCGCCCCTCTCCTCGGGCTGATGCAGCTGATAGAGTAACTCCAGCCTCGGATGGTTCAAGCGAGTAAGAAACTGGAAAGTTGCCCTGCCCACTGTTCGACCTCCCTTCCTACCTGAATCGTGACTGACGGTCTCTCACAGGTAAAGCTGGCTGCTGACGTCGACGGGGAGACGCCTCGCCCTAACTGGCTTCCCACATTCTTTAAAGATAAAAGAAGGAAAGCCTTGCCTCACCAACCTGTTGTGTGCCTACAAATGTCTGGTTTTGTTAACATCTACAACTGATGTTTGTTTCTATTTTAGTGCTGGACTGATAAATAATTGAGCTCAGACGTGATCTGGATTGTTGTTGGTTCTTAAAGGTGAAATGAAGGCTACTTTAGCTGGTGAAATAACTGAATAATTTGATAGTATATGTTGTAATGTAGTATTAATACTGTATTAATAAAATGTCTAAATATTGTAAATTTGACCAAAACATGTAATTTCTACAAATTGCGTAAAAAACCATGCTTTTGCATCCCATTCAGAGCTCCAGCAGGGGGCGCAGTTTGTGTGACGTAATATTTGTTGAACGACTCGCTGCTCGTAGGATTACATGTAGAAGCAGCTTTTGTTTTTAAGACTTTTACATTATTTTGTGGACTTGAAATCAGGGTATATACAGAAATTCTGAGGTAAAATTTAATACCTTTTTAATACCATCCCAATATTTTTTAATACCAACATGACTTCAAGTTTTAACTGTAGCGGCAACCCAATCAACCTATTGTTACAGTTACTGGATACATACATAGTTATTTCTTTGCCTTAATTAAACACTGACCATATACAATTATTTGTTATTTAACCCTAAATTCAAGACAAAATTTGTTTTCATTATGTGTAGGAAGAGCAGTGCTCTCAGCAACAGGTCGTCTGCTCTCACATGTCCCAGGAACTCAGAACCAAAACACCCTGATGTCACACAACCATCCTCTAAATAACACCTGTGTGTGTCCATCTGTTTTTAAACATGTATTAAAACTTTTGTTGAACAAGAGAATGAACGGTCCATCTGCAGCCTCCACCACACACAGTTTCACCCTCACAATCACCATCTTTTATCTGCGTTTACATTGACATTACCAGCATATACTACTAAAGAACAACTGGAAAGAATTCATCAATCAACTTATTAAAAAAAAAGTTTGATTTTTTTCATATTGAGCAGAGGGTTATCTGTAATTACTTTAAATATCACCTTTTAAATTGATCAAAACTGAAAAATCACCTTTCCTGTGTCAACTTTTTTCACCAAGCATCAACGTATGTAAGATGTTTTTTTATGTTTAAAAATCACAATTTATAAACTCTTGTAGCTAAAATACTTTCAATTAAAAACTGATTGAAAATAATCAAAACTTACTAAACAAACCAAATCAACAGAACCTACGTGAGAACTGTAAATTATGTCATGTGATCCTGTATTACATTTACATAATGTATGATTCAAAATAAATAATTTAGCTCAAATTCCCAAAACCCTTTAATACAGTGTAGGATTTAAATGAGCTCATATTTATCTACAAACATATAAAACTGACTTCTTCATAGAGAATGACCTCCCTGAGAGTTTTGGGGAAAAACGATGAAAAAAAATAATCTGAGACAGCTATAAACTTATTTTAGAGTTAATGTGTCTCTGTTTGTTCCAGTAAACACACACCTGCTGACTGATGTTATCTCCCGGGTCATTCTTATAAAAGTCATCACTTTAATCTCCTCACCTGCTGCACCTGTCTGCTCCGCTCTGCTCCTGTCCAGCTAACTTTAGCTAAAGCTAGCAAACACCGACACACAGCTCCTCTCAGGGGGAGGAGTCAGTAATCCTTCTGCTGGTTTATCTTTTCTGACAGCTGATTTTTTAACTATCTTCCAGCTTTGATATCGTCTCCTGTTCTCACAAATATTTTATTTAAACACCGCTCCAACTTCTGCTACTAGTGCCAGTTAAGTCCCGCCCCTACACTATTTCTGATTGGCTACTAGGCCTGCCTAAAGTGAAAGCTGCGTGTCAGATAGGCAAGAGAAATGTTTGTTAAATCTGTTTTCAAAGCAGAGCATCAGATTCCACAGCATTGAGAAAGTGTGCCAGTTGTTTAAAAATTAATACCTCGTCAGATGGTGTTTATTACCTTTTAATACTTTTTAATGGCTTTAATTTTTGCTTATTTGTTTTACTACCTTTTAATACTTTTTACAACCCCGTGGATACCCTGGAAATGGAATACTGTGTGGCCTTTGGGTTCACATGTGGTGCAGGGTCAGCTGTCAGCTTTGTTATTTTTATTTTTTTAAGATCCTGAGGGCAGAAGGTTTGTGTTGATGCATGTGGAGGACAGACTGGAAAACAAAGAACCCCAGCCCCCCCAGCTCTGCTCAGACCATTTAAAGACTCAAAAAGCAGGGTTACAAGACTTTGCCTTTTCAGTGCTTCACAGTTTGAGATCCTTTAGTTTTGTGACCAAAAGGCTCGATCTGAAGGAGGATGCCAACAATATTTACCCCTGCTGGATTATTAACAACAGCCATGTGAGGACACTCTGCTGCGGTCATAACAGGAACTTTTTTAGCAGCCTTAGTCAGGAGCCAAAAGTCTGCAACAAAGTGGTGTGTTGCTTTTTATAAGAGTTTTATATTAATTATGAGCATTAATCAGGTCTGCCTCATTGCTCAGAAAGCTACACTGAGCAACTCGAAGTGAGGCTGCAGGAGAGACGACGGCTAGCAGGCTAACAAGCTAGCGTCTCTTTGTGTGAAACAGCTCCAGGTAAAACAGCACTCTGAGCTGCGCTCCTTTCTGTACGAGATTTAGCTGAAATGATCCATTCCCAGTTAAAAAGATGAACAGCTTTGATGATCAGCTGGTCTGATCTTGAACACGCAACTGCCGGTGTTCCGTCGAGCCGCGTTTCCCCATCAGATACGGTTCCCCCGTCAACGTGAAACAACAAAAACAACAACAAAAAGCTTCTCCTCCTCCGACCCTTCACTCAACAACACTGATTCAACATTGAGTGAAAACAACTATTTTTCCATCAGTTGCTTCACTGTGACAGAGTGCTGCGGGTGGGCAGACGGATAAATAATATTTTAGAACCAGCAGCGCAGCGTCTTCAGCCCGTTTAATGAGTGTTTCTCCACTCTGTGTGACTGGTTCACATCTGTACGGCTGGATGGTTTTTATCTTTAGTTTCATAGTGAAATCTGATTCAGTATCATAGGCGTGCATAATAAGAAGTCAGATTGTTTGACGTCACATAGCAACAATGGTTTACCTTAGCAACTAAAATTATGATTTCAGGCTCTGCTCCGTAGCTCCATTTAGCAGATGGAAAATCGTATTTTAAATATATTTTCATTACAGTTGTGAAAAATTTAAATCAAAATTTTAAATAAAACATTATATGAATGCAAAATATACATTTTTGTTTTTTTCCCCTTCATTTCACCTTTAAACCTTTTATAGGAAATTGACTGATCACAAATAAGTGTGCTGTAGTGATTGATTGATTGTGTAAATAAATGGTCACCTTTACTGATGGATCAAATCAAAACTCACTGAGCAAAGTCACTTTTTGTGTTTTTCCATTCATTTTTGCACAGCTAAGGTATCTACAGAAAATAAGAAATCCCTTGATGAATAATCCTTATAACTTTGTTATAAGCGTGTAGATAAAGCCTATAAAGTGTCCAGAAGAAAAATAAACTCTGTATAAACCAGTGATAAATGAGGCAGCAGGACAGAAAATATCAATTTAATGTATTTGAGTCTCCGGGATGTTGCCGGTGATTTGGGGACCTACTTCAGCTTGTTGGAGTCTTCCTGTGCAGGTTTTCTCAGGAAGGTGGCGTTGGGGTTGGTGGGGTGTTCTCGCTGAGGCTTCTCAGCGGCGGTCTGTTTGGTGGGGGCAGCGGGCGTCTTCTTGGCCGAGCGTTTGATTCTCTCCTCCAACATGCTCATGTCTTTCTCCGACAGCTGGAACCAGAGAGGTGAGTGAGGCGCTGCCTCCGGCTCTTTAAAGAATAAAACTCTTTAAATCTGTCTTACGTTTCCGATCAGCTTGTAGACCTGGTCCCCGCACACGTTGTAGACCGCCACCACCGTGTTCAGGGCGGCGTTACGGACAGACGTGTCCCTGTCCCCGATGTGGACCGCGATCTCCTTCAGGGATTTGGCGGGAGTCGGTTGGCACACGTTGACCCCGTAACCTTCGATCAAACAGCCTAACTCCTCCAGACACTCTGTGGACGAGACAAACAGGAAGTCCTCCTGAACTTTACAGAATAAAACAGGAAGTCCTCCTGAACTTTACAGAATAAAACAGGAAGTCCTCCTGAACTTTACAGAATAAAACAAAAACATGAAGTCCTCCTGAATTTTACAAAACAAAACAGGAAGTCATTCTGAACTTTACAAAATAAATCTCCTCAAATGCTTTAAAAAGTCTCTGGAAACAGCAAGTTTGGACAAAAACTGGACTGAAATCTGACTCCGATTTTAAAAATGAATACCAGGAAATGTTTCTTCAGCTGGTTTATTTTGAAAGGACCTGTTAATTCACAAATGTTGCTTCATACGTTTTATTTTGAAAGGAGCTGTAAATTCTCACCAGCTCTTTGTTTGGAGTTCTTGGACTTGGTGCCCTCCATGAGGAAAGGGAAGAGCTTGGATGCAGGATAAACTTTACACAGCATGGTGAGGATGGCTCGGACATCTTTACGAACAACATCCTTTGATTCTCCCACCTGAAGACAAACAGGAAACTCAGACGCTGATCCTTTCACAATAAAAGTCTCAGCAGAGGCAGGAGTAGGGCACACCTTCAGTATTAGGTACGGGACAAAGGAGTTGGCTTCGTACTCCGTCAGGTGGTAGTTCTCCCTGTCCAGCATGGCGAAGAGGAGCTTCAGGTACTCCAGAACCTTCATCAGGACTGTGGTGTTGGTGTCGAAGAACCGGAAGGTGAACCACTTCAGGATCAGGTCCAGACAGCTGATGGTGGCCTCGCTCTCGCTCTCCAACCTCTGTCAGACACAAACATTAGTCAGGTCCTGCAGGACCTGGACTGGCAGGACCTGGACCGGCGGGCTCGTACCTCAATCATGACTCCGATGGCCTTCACGTGTCTCTGGAAGTCGAAGTGGAACAGCTCATCCTGCAGCCACTTGGCGAAGCAGGTGGACATCTGAGTCTTCAGCTGCTCCACGTACTCGTCTCGAGGAGTGATGAAGTTCCACTTCAGAATCTGAGACAGAATATTCTGCATCATCATCATCATCATCATCATCATGTCTGACATCTTAAACACTGAAAGTCTTTGTAAAGAAACACGTTCTGCTGCTCATTAATACACAAGAAGTTTTTAAACTAAATTAAAAAGGTCCAACATCACCCACTGACCAGAACCAGAACGAACCATGGAGCCAGAACCAGAACCAACCATGGAGCCAAAACCAGAACCAACCATGGAGCCAGAACCAGAGCCGAGCACACTTCATCTATTCAGGTCAACACTAGCAGCTGTCAGCGTTCAGCAGATACCTTCAGCTGCTTCTCCTCTTTGATCCTCTGCTCCTTGGCGTTGGGGATGAGGATGAAGATGGGTCCAGATTTATCCTCATCGTCTTTCAGGCCTTTAGCTCCAGGCTTCTTCCCAGGTGGACCCTGAGACAGACGAAGACAAGAGTGAGACCGAAGACGACGAGAGCGATGTGAGGAGACGATATTCAGCCGTGTGTGTGTGTGTGTGTGTGTGTGTGTTTAATCAGGTCAGAACAGAATGAAAGGTAAGAAACAGGAAGTAAAAGCAGACATTAACGAGTTCAGAGCAGGTATCAGACCAGCTGATGTCAGGTCAGTTAATAGACACTCGGCTGATCTCGGGTCAGTTAAAACACTCGGCTGATCTCGGGTCAGTTAATAAACACTCGGCTGATCTCGGGTCAGTTAAACACTCAGCTGAGAGAACAGCTAATCTGAGGTTAGTGAGGAGCGTTACAGAAGCTGGACAGAGGTTAACGTTTGTGTCCAGAAGCAGGAAGACAGAATTTGTCCAGGGGGACACCTGTTGGACATCTACCTGTTGACTGCCAGCAGCACCCTTCCCTTTAATGGGGGGCTTTTTACTACCATTACTGTCCTTCTCCCTGGGGGGAGGCTCATCAGGAGGGGAGGGAGGCTGGGTGAGTAAAAATAAAAACATTTAAATCTTCATGATGTGAAAGAATTCAAACAAACAAAAAAAACTCAGGTTCAAATCCAACTTTCTGTAGATTAAAGAGAATAAAATCCTCAGGTGAGGACCAGACGTACCTTCTTAGCCCCGCCCCCTCCTCTGACCTTCTTCACTTCAGATTTGCTGTCAGTCAAATCCTCAGCAGCTGCTGCAGATCTGGAGGCTGCAGACACAAAACAGATGCAGTAAATTCAAAAACAACCTGAGCAGGTGCTAAACCCCGCCCACCGTCAAACAGTGAGCCCACCTGAAGGCGCTCGGCTCGGCTCAGCAGAACCTTTCCCTCCTCCTGATTTCACCGGCGCCGCAGGTTTTGCCGGCATCACAGCTCTGGCCTTTTCCAACATGGAGACCACCTGATCCTTGGAGGCGGGCTGAGGGGGACAGGAACACATGAGGTCACGTGTCCACAGACTCAGGTACTGATCAGGTCCTGCTGAGGATCCTGACCTTGAGCTTGCCCGTAGCTTTGTTCATCTTGTCGTAGCCCAGGTGCATCATGAAGGTGGGCAGGGCGTCCTGAGCCTTCTTCCTCACGTCTCCGTTTCTGTCCTCCAGGCAGGTGTAGAGGAGGGGGACGCACAGCATCAGGTCCGCGGGGACGGTCCTCAGGGTGGGCAGCTTCTCAGACAACCAGCCGAACACCTGCGTGAGGAAGAGTCAGTCTCCGTCCTCTGTGGACCACCTGAGAGGGAGGGGACAGAGGAACTCACCTCCTGTCTCAGGAAGGGGTTCTCCCTCTTCAGCTCCTCACACAGATCCTCCCCCTCCAACCAGTCCTTCATCCCCGTCTGCTCCACCCACACCTGCAGCGTGGTCAGGGCAGCTGTCCTCAGGTTGGGCTGCAGGGGGACCACACACCACATCAGTTAACCCTTTAGCTCCTCCCACTCCCAGTCAAACCACAGCTGAGGTCAGAATCAATGAGTTTTACTTTGCTGTCTCCCAGAACTGTGATGATGGAGAACCCCAGAGCTTTGACCTGATGTCTCAGTCCAGGTCCCAGAGCTGCCGCCAGCTGCTGCAGGATACTCAGAGTCTGCTGGACCTGAGGACAGAGGACAGAGGACTGAGTCTGCTGGACCTGAGGACTGAGTCTGCTGGATCTGAGGACTGAGTCTGCTGGATCTGAGGACAGAGGACTGAGTCTGCTGGGTCTGAGGACAGAGGACAGAGGACTGAGTCTGCTGGGTCTGAGGACAGAGGACAGAGGACTGAGTCTGCTGGATCTGAGGACAGAGGACTGAGTCTGCTGGATCTGAGGACAGAGGACTGAGTCTGCTGGATCTGAGGACAGAGGACTGAGTCTGCTGGACCTGAGGACAGAGGACTGAGTCTGCTGGACCTGAGGACAGAGGACTGAGTCTGCTGGACCTGAGGACAGAGGACTGAGTCTGCTGGACCTGAGAACAGAGGACTGAGTCTGCTGGACCTGAGAACAGAGGACTGAGT